GCTATTTGCATATCTTTGGAGAAATGTTTACTCAAGTCTTTTGTTCATTTTTTGAATTGGGTTGTTTACCTTTATTACCTAGTATAGCTCTGGGCCAGAGGGGGTTCCCAGTTACGGGCAAGTCCACTATGGATTCAGATGAGACCAAATAACAATGGAACATTTGGGGGTAAAAGTCTTACACCAAGCTTCATTCTCACAGCAGCAGACTGAGTACTAGAGTCATGTCTGCATCCAGCAAGTCTGCATGCAGCAAGTCCATCTCTGTCTCTGCCTCTGCTTCTGGCTCTGCCTCCACTCCAGGCTCTGCCTCTGCCACAGGCTCTGCCCCAAACACTGGGCAGAGCTCTTTGTATAGCAACACAGGAAATAATGACTTACTGCCAACACATATGCAAGCATGCTCCTGCTCCGTAGGCCAAGTATTACATCACTGCACATGCACAGTGGGCAAGTATATTAGGATCAGGTGAGGATCCTGGCCATGGAACTTCCATTTTCCCTATACCTAGTAATAAAAACAAAGAATGAATGGTAATAACAAGATCCCAATTCCAATATGCAAGCTGGGTCTCAAAGCAGGGACCCTTGATAAGCCCTTCAGATGGGTTCTTAAATGGGAAGCAGTGTAGTACTTTTCTATCACCACAAACTATTGAAGTACCAGGTATTGTCCAGACAAAATGAAAAGGTGTGTTACCCTTATCTCAACAAAATTTATTAATTGCAAGGTTTCTCCCCCTTTCTAATACTCCAGTCCTGGAGGGTAGGAAAAGTTGTTGGACGTTTTTTTTCTTTTCCACACCTCCTGGGACACACTTCTGAATTAAACCCAGAGGGATAGTGTTTCCTTAAAGCAAACTATTGATTCATTTTGGGTAAAATTCATTTCTCCAAACAACTTACCTATTTGGTAGCTCTGCTTATCACCTGTGAATTTAAGAACCTTTATCATTGAATATATGTGTTAACAGAGTGGCTGCTGGGAGTGGTGGCTCAACAGCAGAGCAAATCTGTGTTAGAGAACAACTGCCCTCAGAACTCCATCTGGAGGTCAGATATAAGTGCACGTTTTATCCTTAGGGCACATTTTCTTAGGTTTATCCAGAAGCTCCTCCCCCTTTTTGTACTAACTGTAGCTAATATTCTCAATGAACCAAAAACAATTGAGATGGTGTAGAATAGAAGATGAGAATACAAACTCTGGAGCCAGACTACCTAGGTTTCCATCTGTGGAGAAAGTGAAGGTTCCTATGGCCAGGATTCTCACCTGGCCCTGGTCAGCTTGCTCACTACACGTGTGGGCAATATGTTGTTACTGACTCTATATAAAAAGCTCCACCCAGTACTCTGAGCTGTTGCATGGTTGCAAGGCTGCAAGGCTGCAGGAGAGCAGAGGCTGGAGTGGTGGCAGCACCGAGGACAGACTGAGATGGCTGTGGGGGCAGAGAGTACCAGAGGCAGAGACCGGCTTGCTGCATGCAGACTCACTCTGAGTGGACAGGATTCTAGTGACTGACCTGACACTGTGAGAATAAAGTTGGGTATAAACCCTTTCACCCCAAGAACGTTCCATGGTCATTTTTCAGTCTCACTGAATCCACAGTTAACTTGTTCATGGCTGAAACCTATTGGCAAGACACCATTCCAGCTCAGCTACTTGCTAGCTGAATCACCTTGACAAATCCTCTAACCTCTCCGTACCTGTTTCCTCACCTGTAAAATGTACGTTCTAGAGGGGAATCTAATTTAAATACATGTAAAGCACCTTCAACAATACATGGTGCGTGGTAAGTGCTGTATAAACCTGAAGTTCTCTGAGGTGACTGCCACCATGGCATGGAGTACCCAGAAGGGTACTCATTCAACCCTTACTAATGACGTCCTCTGAGGAGTGAGATTTATGAGGGGAGATAAAGGAGAGGATTTCAATTTCTACTTTAAGCAACTCTGTATTATTTGAATTTATTTTCATTAAAAGCAAAAATAAGGAAAAGAGTAAATAAAATGGTATCCAGCTAACAGAATATAAAACAATCTCTCCCTACCTCCCACTAAAACGGCTAAGAAAAACATGAAGATTTTAAAAAATCCAACCCAAACATTTAAAATTAATGTTGCCAAGCCAAGGCTTTAAAGCCATATGAATTTTCTGTTCCTGCAAGACCAAAAGAGGCTAATAATGGTGGAGAAAAGTGGCATTGAGGTCCATCTATGCTCCACTCCCCCACAGATAGATGGATATTAAAAACTTTTCTTCAGTCCATTAACAATTAAAATTCAAGGCCAACACTAATGAGGAAGTAGAATAGCAGTCACCTCTACTTCACAATAAACTTCACAATAAGAGTATTTGTTTTGAGACAAGCATTCACTTATGGTCCCTTCCCTATCAGTTTCTCTTTCTATACTCAGTAAAAAAAACTACTACTCCCAGAAAACCCCTCAGCAGGAAAGGGAGGCTAGCGGAGATGAAGGTGTGCCTGACACCAAAGCGTGATGTTGGCCCCACCCACCCGGCCCTGTCATTCTCCAGGAAAAGCACCTGAAAACTTTGTGTTAAGGGGCAAGGGATCTAAAAACCTGGTCTTTGTGCTGGTCTTGAAGAATCACTTAAAGATGTGCTCTTGTCAACAGGAGTGAGGAAGGAAGATTATAAAAGAGTAGGCAGATGACAGTGCTGTGAAAACTCAGCAAGCAAGGGAACCCTTCAACCCTGGAATCAAGAAAGATGACCTCAGCAACCACACCCAAGGGGCGGCCGATAATGTAGCAGCCAAAATGTGCAGGGGTCAGAGTCTCCTTCCACGATGGCGTCTGAAGGCAGTTCAAAAGGAAACGGTCACGTTATGAATTGTTATTGCTCATTATGGGAATAACTGGTACTGCACAGAACAGGGGCTCCCTCTTTACCAGTTTCAGAAGCTTGATTAAATGTAATTACTACGGCGTTCATTATCACAACACGTGGAGCTACAGCTCTTGTCTTAAAAGAAAGACACCTAAAATGATGCAGTCACTTTGGAAAACAGTCTGGCAGTTCTCAAAGGGTTAAACATAGAACTTATCACATGACCCAGCAATTCCACTGCCAGGTATGTTCCCAAGAAAATTGAAAATAGATGTACATGCTAAAACTTGTACACAAATATTCATGGCAGAATTACTCACAATAGAGAAAAACTGGAAACAATCCAAATAGCCATTGACTGGGAATGTATAAACAAAATGTGGAGTATCCATACAATGGGATGTTACTCAGGCATAGGAGGGAATAAAGTTTTGATATGTGCTACAAGAATGAACCTTGAAAACATTGTGCTTAGTTTAAGAAACCCAGCACAAAAGGGCACATATTGTATGATTCTGTTTATATGAAAAATCCCATTAGGCAAACAGAGAGAGAGAGAGAAAATAGATTAGTGGGTGCCAGGATATAAAGGGAGAGGAGAATGGGAGTGACTGCTAACAAGCATGGGATTTCTTTCTGGATGAGGAAAATATTCTGGATTTGGGTAGTGGTGATATGTGAGAATGTACTAAAAACCACTAAATTGTATACTTCATGTAGGTGAATTTTATGGCATGTATATGATACCTCAGTAAAGCTTCCACAAAAGAGAAAGACATACCCCCCAAATGTTAATTCAGCAGTTTTGGGGAAATACGGCCAGGGGGCCAATTTGTATTTCTACTTTTCTGTTTTTTTTCAAACTTTCCCCTTCTAATGGCCATATATTACTTACCAACTAAAACTTTGGAATCAGGTAGACTCTGCTGGATTCAAATCTGAGCTCCTCTGGTTGAACTGGATAATCTTGGGCAAGTCACTTAATTATTCTATACCTCAGTCTTCTCATGAAAAATTGGGGGGGAGTTAACATCCCTTGCCTCATAGTGTAGTTGTGAGAGTTTAATAACAGAATACTGTAAAGTGCTTAGATCAGAGCTTGGCACATTAGTAAGTGCTCAGGAAATATCAGCTGCCATTTTTGCTACTGAGAATACAGGGCAGTAAAGTAATACTTCTAATTATTACAGGTAGTGCCCATACAGAACTGTATTAGGTGCTTTACATACTTTTAAGGCACTTAGTCCTCACAACTGCCTGTGAGGTGACCACTTTTATGCCCATTTTACCGAAAAGCAATTACTGTGGAGTGGACGAACGTTGCCAGTGGCATGCAGTCTATATATTTTGTAGGAATTTAGGAGCAGGTAAAGAGCATAGATAGTTGAGGCAATCGTGGAGGACTTCATGAAGGAAGTGCCCTGTAAGGAAAAGAAAGTGGGCCCTAAATAATCTTATATGGGAGGGGAAGGGTGGTGAGGGCCTTGCAGATGGAATGGAAGTTACCAAAGAGGTGGTAAATATTAACATTTGTTCAGTGTAGGTGATGCATAGATTATGCATTATTTCTGCACCTTATATATAATTATTAATCAGCATAAAGATATTTAATCACCACATTATGGAGAAATAAAATATTTTCTTTCCTCTAGTCTCTAAGTATACATACAAGAAACGTGCTGGTTAGGAGAATGAGTAAATGCGTTTTTTTCTTTCTTTCTAAAATTAATCTTAGTGTTTTAATCCTACTTGCCCTAGTTACTATGGCTTGGAGACTTTTTTCCTCATGGATCTACCTCACTCCTTGCCATAACCACATAATACTGCACAGTAGGAATATTCTCTAATTTATTTCTCCATTCCCCTATAGATTCCAATTTTCCACTATTACAAGCATTATTTGTAAACACTGTACTGTTTGTGATCCTGAGTAGGAGAATCCTTGTACGAGCCTTTTCACGCACTGTTACTCCAAAGTAGATACTAGGAAGCAGAAATGCCATAAATCCAATTTTTTAAAAGTGAATCAAACAGAAGGTAAATGGAAAATCTCTGTACCTCGCCCTCAATTTTGTCGTAAACCTAAACTGCTATAAAAAATACTCTTTTATTTTAAAGGTTAAGTCAAAGAAAGAGCGGCTTTACTCACAATCCCACTCGGCTCGCAGACTGGGAACCCAGCCAGCCTCTCACGTGGCCGGGAGCAGGGAGTTGGGAGCTCGGATCTTCGCGCCCCGAGAGTCGTGGCTCTGCCGAGTGCAATCAAACCAACCCACAGCTTAGATGCGAGGTCACGGCGACCTACCATCTCCCACGCACGCGCTCCCGCCCGCTAGGCGGCCCCTTCCATTAAAAAAAAAAAAAAAAGTCGGGGGAAGGAGCCTTAGCGATCACGTGAAAGAGGCATGCCGGCCGCGTGACGTCACGAGGCTCGGGCCAATGAGAGCCTCTGTTTATGTTGGGGTGTGGTGGTCATCGGACTAGGCAATCCCCGGCAGCCAGCCTCCGCCCGCCGCGCTGCGCGGCTCCTGGGCTCCGGTGGAGAGCAGCAGCTGGAGCGAGAGGCGGCGCGGCTGCGGTGCCGCGGGGAGGGCCGCCCCGGTTTCCTTCTGCAGTCGTGTCCCTGTCAGCCCCCTCGCGGTCCTTGGGGCACTGCACGCCCCAGAACGCAGCCGCCTGCCATCGCGGCGGCCGGATCCCGCGTCCCGCGTGTGCGCCCGGAGGACATGCGGAAGAGAGAATGAGCCAGAGGGACACGCTGGTGCATCTGTTTGCCGGAGGGTAAGGTCCGGGCGGGGCGTGAGGCCGGGCTGAGGGCCGGGGCCCGAGACGCGGGCGAGACGCGTGAGGGGAGCCGAGAGGGCGAGGCCCGGCGGCGGCGCGAGGAGGGGGCTTGAGCCAGCGGAACTGAGGGGACCGGGGCCCAGGCGGGGAGGGATGGGAGGATGAGGCCCAGGCGGAACGCGGGACGTGGGGCCTGGGTAGCCGGGGCGAGAGCGGCGGGCGGGGCTGGGGTCGGCGTGGGCCCGGGCCGCGCGTCGCGGCCTAGCCCGTGACCGGGATGCGGGGCCGCGGGGAGGAACGGAGCTGCGGGCCACACATAGGTTGTTTGGCCTCGGGTGACTACAGCGGGAGGTGCGGAGGCCGCAGACAAAATGGGCGCCGGGCCTTCCCTCCTGGTCGCGCGGGCTACGGGGCCTCCTCACGTCGCTCACGCCCCACCTCGGCCCTCGGGTGGCCGATTTCCGGGTGCTGCTCTGCAGGCTGGGCCCTGCGGGGGCTTCCGGCGCCAGCCGAGAGTGTTTTGGTACATTCTGTCACCTGCGGTAGCTGTAGATTTCCAGCTCTTGGAAATTTTCCTTTCTCGAGCTTCTCGGGGTTGCGAGATGCTGCGCAAAGCGGCGGTGCCTCTGGGGTCAGATTGTTTTCATGAAAACCAACCCTCTTGCACACACGCTGCTTTTCCTTTGCTTAAAGGAGAAAATGAGGGACAGGGAGAGGTCAGACGCTTCGGCGATAGTTACTGTGTGTACAAAATTAGGATTGAGCCCGAACTCTAAATTCTCTGATTGCCAACCTAAGTGCTGTAGGTATTTTTCTGAGCCAAATTTATTTGCCCTTTTTAAGTTTGTTCCTTCCGAATTATTTGGAGAATTACAGCAATTTTGAGTTTAGGAGTTACTGCCTGTCTGTAGAATCAGTTATCAAAAATGAATACGGTGAATTTGCTGAGGCTCTTTTCTGCTTACTATGATTATATAAGGTCGCATTCCCTTAAAAAATCGAATAGTTTGTTTTTAAATCGACCACTTTAAGAATATTAAAGTCATACATATTCTGGTTGTATTCATAGTATCTTGATTTGAGTTGGAGGTAGGGACTATTACCAATGATGGGAATACTTTGCTTGGGTTGGCACATTCATTCAGCAAGCATGTATATTGTACAACAATTAAGGACCAGCCACCGTTCTGGCATTTAAAAAGTATTTTAATTTTAGTTGGTGGGGCCCAGTTTAGGCAAAGTTTGCTTTCCATTTTCTGATAATGTTCACCAACAATCTTGGGAAACTAAATCATTAAAAAACCATTAGCCATATAGCAGTTGCTGTAAAGATGTTATTAGATTCCCACATGTAATTAGATCATAAGGTAATGTCTGCAAGTTAGGAGACTGCACGACTGCACATCTGTTTCCAACTATTTTAATTCGAGAAATGGCCAAATCCTTTGATTTTAATGGCTTCATCTGTAAAATAGGAAAGTTTTACTGTATGATCTCTAAAGCCCTTTGCTAGGTCTTAATATTTCTAATATTCCGTATTAAAGAGTCATATATCAGGTTTGTAAGAAGAGGGGCATATTAATTTGAAATGTTAGCTTGATTGCACCAACTTCCCAGTTCCAATTTGGATTATCAGTCATTTTAGTACTAATACATATAAAGGCACTTTTGGTTAGCTTTTTCTTTAAAAACAGAAATGGAGAATTTTTGCAGCATCTAAGCACAGGTAGATTTAGGAGCCATCTATTCTAACACTCCCATGCCCCTCCAAAAACCAGGTTATTAAGAGTATTAAATGAGGTACTGGCATGTAGGGCCTGACAGAGTAGGTGCACAGCCTTGTAAATTTTCTTCCATTGCATCTTGTCTTGATTTTACTTTTATATGTGGTTGTATAAGTTGTTTCAATAAAACCTGGCTTTTTTAGAGAAACAGTAGAACTAGGAAGGTTGGTAAAGATTACCTGGTTTCAGCCCTTTATAATATGGCAAAATATTGAGGTGTAAAATGGACAGCTTTTTCATATGGGGTAAACAATCTCTAGAGATCTTCCCAGTTCTTTCCTTATTTTTAATATATTATTTTTTTTTATTAAGGTATTCATATACAATCTTATGAAGGTTTCAAACCCTCACCCCCACTGTTGCAGTCACTGTCCATCTGTGTAGTAAGATACTATAGTGTCACTACTTACCTTCTCCATGCCATATCCAGTTCATTATATCAAATCAGTTCCATAGAATACTCTGGAAGTCTGTGGAAATGCAAAATAGGTTGTTCTGAATTGAAGCTACCTAATTCTTTTATATCTCAATGTTGCTTAGTTAGGCAATCATTTTTTAGGACATTCTGTGTCAAGAACTACATTTTTTTTACCCTGATAGAATTATGTAAATTAGGTCCTAGGGAATTTATATTTTACTTTAACAACTAGAGAAAAGGAGAGATCTTTTTGTTAGCTGTTAAGCGCGCAGGCTTACTTCAGTTAGTTACTATTTGGATTAAGTTAGGAAAATCAACATATTTTAAAGGAACCAACCTTTCATGATGGCATTTAATTTTAGGCAAGAATTGTCTGAATATGGAGCATTTGGATTGTTTTCCTGACAATTATAAGTGTACTTATTCAAGTATGTGTTTATCAGGGTCTCAGATTTCTAATATTTCTGATAGATTCCAAGTAGCTGTATTATTAAATCAGGGACGTTTGAAAAAGACCAGCACTGGATCTCAGGTCTGGGTGACATACTCACATGCATAACTCATGATTTAAGACACCCCTTGGTCTTACTATGTTTTTACCAGAGTTAATATTAAGAGTTTATAAGATCAAGAGTTTGTTAGACATGGTAAGTTTGAAAAGTAGAGAGGTTGAGGAACCAGTAAGTGGTTGGATGTGTTAGTATATACTAAGTCCAGGAAAGAGGTGTGGACTATTGATACATTTAGTCTGGAACCCAGATGGGGCGGTTAGCTAGATGAGATCACTAAGGGAGTAGAAGGAATCAGCAAAGTGAACTTAGAGTGACTAAGAAAATGTGTTATAAAAGCTAAATGAAGGAAATACACAGTATTTAGGAAGGAGTGGGTGATCAGCTGTCATATGTTACTGTCAAGATAGGAGGTCTGAGAGCTGTTAATCATTGAATTTGGTGACCCTGATTAGCAGTTTCTAAGGCAGAGCTGAGAGTAAAACTGCAGTTAGAGTGGGAAAGGGTTAGAGACCATAGAAGATTTTGAGATTTGCTGATAAGAGGGGGACAAAGAGACAAAACAGTAGTTTGTGGAGAAAATGAGAAAATTTACATCTACTAAACCTGCCACATACCCTCAGCATATTTTGTTTATGTAGTGAGTTTTAGTCCTCATATGTCTTACCATTTTTCCTCCGAGTGAAGACTGTTCAAATACAACTTGGCCTGTGTGATATGGCTTCCTTCCGTTTTCATGTTCATCTAAGTTGTCAGCTAATATTTTCTTTTCAATATAGTGTTTTGTTATTGCTTTAGCATTCAGAATAAACCTAGCCACTAGTTAATTTTTTTCCTGCATCAGAAACACTACATGTACACAGAAACCATAGTTTTCAACCAATCTTACATCTGACTTGATAAGTTAGAACGTCTGTCAAATATATAGAACATATTCTTCATTCACTGATTCAAGAAGTAGTGTTTCTTGCCCAAACGTTAAAGCTCAGATTGAGAACTAGGCTGTGATTATAATCCCACTTTTCTATTTCACTACGTGAATTTAAATCTTTCACGAAGGGCTATATTAAAAATGGGATATTTAAGGGAAGACTTTTTGTAATCTCTATTATATATCTATCTGTTACCTTCATTTTTAATGAAGTAAAAGGGGAGATGTGGAGGGCCATATGTGATGTCACCCCAGAAGTGACATCACCAAACCTGGGCACTGGAAAGTAATATATATCACCAGGAAGTGAGATCACCGGAAACAAGAGACAATGCCAGATATAAGATCAGTCTGGAAGTGACATCATTATTAGCCTCTGTATATAAGTGGTGCTCAGAAAATAAACTGCATCACTTGTCTGCCATCAGCAGGCAATGAAGCTCCTCATTCCCACTCCATTCAGGTTCAGCTGGTTTGTGGAGCTGGTCTCCACATGAGTGAAAATGTGACAGAAAGTTTTAGAATATAGAACCAGTGGAACTTGAGGATAGTTGGATATGAGAAAGCCACTGTATCCCTTTGTATTTCCATTCTATCCAATGATTAATTCATACTGTCTCACAAAGATAGCATTTTTTTGTGTGTGATCAGAGCACCTGAAATCTACTCTTAGCAAATTTACAGTATTTGATAGGTATTATTTATTATGGTCATTATGTTATACAGTGGAACTTCAGACTTACTCTTCCTATGTAACTGCAATTTTGTACCTTTTGATTAGCACCTCCCCATTTACCCTGCCTCCTTGCCCCTACCACCCTTCTACTCTCTGCTTCTATGAATTTGACTTTTTAGACTTCATATAGCAGCGTGTCTTCCTTTTTCATCCACGCTGTTGCAAATAGCAGGGTCTTCCACATGGCATTCTTAATTCCAAATT